CGCGCCATTCATCGCGAGTATTACACATGTTTATGTCTCCATTAAAAGTCAAGTCGAGTCGCGAACAGGCTGTCGTGGAACTTGGAGACTCTTTTCGAGCCTAATGTCCTCGCGCCTAATGCGAAACGATTTTCAAGTCTACGAATTGTACAGTCTTCGATATGCTCCCTTTTCGCACATGACACTCCTACGGAAAGTGTTTCGATCACTTTTATGAGCACTTTTATGGCGTAAGAGAGACGGATTGATTTGGAGCGGCACGACAATGAAAACCTGTTGTGATCACGCGGTCGCGGACTTGCGCCGCGGCGCGACTCCGCGCCCGATCGGAGGTGCGCGCTGCCTGGTCAAGGTGAGCGTCGTCGGCCGAGGACTCTCGTGATCGTGCTCTTTGCGACCGAGAAATGCAACGCCGACACAATCGTGAGCGGAGTGCGTCCCGCAACGGCCTACGGCAGCGCGGGCTCCGGGCCGAGGGCGAGTTATCATTCAACGGCGGAAGGTCGATGACGGAGGGTGTTTTCCTCCAACAAGAGAGACGCGGTGTGACACAGTCGATCGTTACGTCCTTATTTGCCAATGTTAAAACAAAGGCGCGAAGGTACAGTGAGAGGGAAGATTGGCTGCTGCGACTCGGCGTAATAATTTGGTAAAATGTGGCATAGTGTTTTTAATTGGTTGCTGCAGCAAATTGTTGCCTTGTGTTAGCCTACCGGCAATAGTCAGTATTAGGATTTCGATTGGCGAAAATTGGTTGCTACAATCAATTGAAACAAATGCTGCGCCATACTTAATCATCTAATTTTGTGCTGCGCTAACCAATCTTTTCGTTACAGTGTACGTTACACTGTCTCTCTTGCTGGAAAACGGCAGGAAACAATCGCGCTCGTCTGAGTCATGATGTAAAAAGGGAGGTGTAACATTGCGCGTAACGGCGGACCGCAATACCGGAAACAAAATCAAATTTGCCCGAAAATATATTTTCCTGCGTACCCTGAGACGAAATTTTTATCTACTTTTAATCTCTTTTAACTTCCTTAAATCTTTTAAACTTTGTTTTGATACTTATATATATATATAAACAGTCAAATAGAACTTCCTTTAATATTACTTAATTTACAGCTTCCACACTGAAAGAAAAGATTGGCTGCTACAAGCAATTGAAAATGCTATGCCATATTCAGCCAATATTTTCTTTCGGTGTGGAAGAAAGAACATTTTTTTTTTCAATCTATAAAAATAGGAAATTTTTCAACAACTGCTATTTACAGGCTCAACGAAGCTCAATATTCATTTGATTAGAATCTATTATAAATCTCTAGAGTCTACATATGACTATCTAAGACTAAGGTTCAAAGTGGGGCAAAATTTCGACTTGGGTAGAAATAATAGTGCTAGTGTGCTGGAACAGCCAATCAAATTTCGACCAGAAATTCATTCTTCAACCGCGCATCAATATGAATGGTACACCTTTCTTTTTACGTCGTGGTCTGAATTGTCACTGCAACGATCTTTCTCCGATCGAGCTCTTATTCCGGTCGATTCGAATATTTATCTATCATTGCATTCATTTGTCATTTCTATTACGTAGTCGCGAGAGAGACAGAGCGAGAGAGAGAGAGAGAGAGAGAGAGAGATTTAATTACACAGAAGAGACCGTTTAACGCGCGCGGACTTGAAAAATACCACGTCGGGTCGCGAAGGGTTAATCTGATTTTCGCGAATTCTACTCGATAAATCGCTTTCGTAAACATGCCCTATCCGAAGGACGTAGCCACCGTG